TTTCATAACAGCTAAAAATTCCTCAGGAGCTTTAAAAAAGCTGGATGGATCTTTGAGATTTGGACAAAAATGTAAAGTGCGTTACAAATAAATTGTTTTATTATTATTATCTGTGTTGTCACATTCAAATGTAATCGGAGGAGTTTCTAATTGGTTCTGGAAGAGTTTAATTGTAATCTGATGTCTATATGTATATACAAAGCCCTCAGATCATCTCTATATAGTGTTTTGTCTGTAATGTTATCACCAGGGTGGATTGAACTAATTGATATACTAGTTGTTAAAGATTTCCTCAGGAGAATTACACGGTCAGTGGTATGTTAGAGCAGAAGCAGATTCTTCATGTGAGAATACTACAAATACATGTACAGGACAGGATCAGCAAAGACATAACTAGTACCCTGTTGGGTTGACAATATCAACACAAAATAAAAGTGACTGATGGTCAATGGTTAATGAAAGCAGAGGATGGTCATTTCTTACTCTTGATTAACTTCTTGACTTCGGGCTTCTCCTCTAAACGTGTCTGTAAGTTGAGGAACTCGCTGTATCTCCTGTTGACAGTGTGACAGGCAGCGAGCTGCTGAGCACCATGTGTCTCTGCTTCGGTAAAAGTCTCAAACTGAAACATGAAAAAGAAAATGTTGATTATTGTTGATTAACAGTCCATAGTAAAAATACAGGAGTGGGAATCAGGGGAAAACTATTGATACAATAGCTATACCATACCACACCATACCATACCACACATACCATACCATACCATACCATACCATACCATACCATACCATACCATACCACACATACCATACCATACCATACCACACCATACCACACCACACCATACACCATATGGTACCATACCATACCATACCATACCATACCATACCATACCATACCACACACCACACACCACACCACACCATACCATACCATACCATACCATACCACACCATACCATACCATACCACACACACCACACCACACCACACCATACACACCACACCATACCATACCACACCACACCACACCACACCACACCATACCACACCACACCACACCATACCACACCACACCACACCACCCATATCACACACCCACACCATACCATACCATACCACACCACACCATACCATACCAAACCATACCATACCACACCATACAAAACCATACCATACCATACCACACATACCATACCATACCAAACATACCATACCACACATACCATACCATACCAGACCATACAAAACCATACCATACCATACCAAACATACCATACCACACCACGCCATACCACACCACACCATACCATACCAGACCATACCATACAACACATACCATACCAAACTTTACCATTTCATACTATTCCATACCATACCACACCACACCACACAATACCATACCATACCATACCATACCATACCATACCATACCACACATACCATACCATACCATACCATACAAAACCATACCATACCATACCACACATACCATAACATACCAAACATACCATACCACACATACCATACCATACCATACCATACAAAACCATACCATACCACACATACCATACCATACCATACCATACCACACATACCATACCATACCAGACCATACAAAACCATACCATACCATACCATACCAAACATACCATACCACACCACGCCATACCACACCACACCACACCATACCATACCAGACCATACCATACAACACATACCATACCAAACTTTACCATTTCATACTATTCCATACCAAACCATACCACACCACAACACACCACACCACAACACACCACACACACCATACCATACCACACCACAACACCACACCACACCATACCATACCATACCATACATGATATGTGATATAAGTGATATGTGGCCTACTATAACAATTATATCACAATACAGAGATTCTGCAATTCCTGATTGTTTGAAATAAATTCAATTAAATTCAAGTCATGAGTCATGAAGTAATGAAGCAATGAGCCAAACTGGCATGAAAATTAGACACACACTGATGCATCGGTTCAACATCCGTATTGGCTGATAATGTGGAATAAATCAATGTCATTGGCTAATGTTTGTTTGTTGTGCCAAATCATTTTAAAGCTGGCATTTAGTACACCTAACTACTGATTCAGAGAAGAGGTTTTTATTTGGCAGACGAATTCACCTGTTGAACAAACTCTGACTTGTTTTCATTGTCAAACATGAGAGAAAAGGATGGCATTGTGGGAGTCATTACACCAACAGAAGTCATAAAACAAACATCAGTACCAGAATCAGCAAACGGCTAAATTGTTATTTCAAACATTGGTAATGGCATTGGCCCTGATTTTCCCAATCGATGCATCCCTAATGGAAATGTGTTAAGAGCGCCTCCTTCTTTTGTATTTAAATATCGATTTCTGGCACCAACGAGTTGTTAGTTGAACCACGCGAGTTGGAATGACAATATAATGCGGTATCAGTTTTGTGTCTCACCCCTGAACAAATTTAAATCTGGTAAAGGAAGCAGGAGATGTTGTTACCTTTACAGTGTAGAGAGTGTAGGGATAAATGCCAGTGCCGCGCTGCTCCATTGCGTTGACGGTACCAGAAATCTGCACGTTCTGGATGTTCACCGCTGAAGCCTGGTTGTTTTGGGGATCAAAATTGCAGGGGCTTAGACAAAATCTTCTTGGAGGACTAACTGGGGATTTCTCCTGGGCTATGCCAGCCGGCCACTGGGATTCCTCAGGCACCACCACCTTTGACCCGCGATTTAACAGAGGAGCGAAGCAGCCAAAGTCTTCGTCATCCTTCAGAGGGCAGAAATTCTTTGGAGGACCACAGTCACAAAAGCCTCCAGGGAGATCATCGTCAGAGTCCGAATGAATCAGGGAGTCTAAACCAATCAATTTGGAGTCTGATGAGCGGCAGTAATGCCCAGATGAGAGAGAACAGCAGCTTACTTTGCACGGTGTGAGTAAACCTGCATGGCAACCTTCTAGTCTCCCAGCAGACAACAGGCTGACCATGCTGCCCTGTGACGAATCCCTCAGACTCTGTACATCCTCACACTCTGAGGAGCTTCTGCCCGCTTGATCAGAAGAAGAATCTGACCTGCACGTTGTCCAGGACTCCTGCTGGATCGGACATCTGTAGAGAGCGTGTGCAGGGAGCTCATCCACGTTGATTGATTGATTGATTGGTTCTCTGGACCTGGCGATTATGTCCACAATAGTCTGATTGAGCCAGTCAGGATCAGACACCCTGCTTATGAGAGGCAGCAGCACATTGCAGGTGATGAGTTCAGTAACTACGTAACCTCCAGTTCTTGTTTCCATCTGTGGGTATGGAACTAGCACATGTAGGACGAGGTTTACTAGAGCTCTGGCGTAGCTGAGCTCAGCGGCTGCGCGGCTCACAGCCGGGTGAGGGGAGTCTACCTCGCTGTAGAGCTGCCATAGGCTGATTCTCTCTTTTTCAGTCGACTGTATCTGTATTGCTGTCATGTAGCTCTGCAGGTGACAGCCGTACAGCTCAAGCAGCCGTTGAACAAGCGCTTTTCTGTCCAGGCGCCTTGCACGCTCCTTTAGCTCCATTACTGACTCCAGCATGGAATTACGCACCGCACGTTCAAACTCCCCCTCCACCTCTGGCAGCAGAGTTCGATACCAGGACGACACAAAGTCGCGCACAGCTTTGTGGACGGCACTGTGGATCTCGTGGTTCAACCTCCACTCATGTTCAGGTGAATACAGAGGTGGGCTCACTTTGCCGAGAGGCAGAAAGTGTTCCAGGTGGAGAAGGCTGTTTGCATCCAGGACAGCACGGGACCCCAACCAACCCCCGAGAACCACCAGGAGGCTGGTGAAGACGCAGAGTAGCCAGACATTCACCAGGAGGTGGAAGAGGATGAGCCAGGCCAGCAGAGCTCCGAGTCCCAACAACCTCCGCTGACCCAGGACCTCTGACAGAGTCCAGTGAGTAGGCATTATTGTCTGTTATGTCCTGCTGAAAAGAAAAACAGTGCTTTATCCTGTCATAGCACAAGTAATCAGAATAAGGAAGGGGAGCTTAGAATTCCTTACTTTGATTTATTTTAATTGTAAATAATCAAACACAGCCTGAATCCGATGATGATAAAGAAGACTGCAACACTTGGTTGCACAATCTTAAGTTCACAATGTTTTTCAAAATTGAATGGACGTTTCGCTTTTGATTATGGCTGCAACTACAAAAAAGTTTTGTTTTTAAGTGACCTGAATATTTCTAAAGCATTTGTGTGATCATTTTGTCAATCAAATTTTAGAAAACATAGAAAAAGTGTACTGTTCTGTCTAAAGTTTTATGTTATTCAGAATCCATTTTGATTAGGCACGGCCAGCAGGTGAATCTGTGTCTGGCGGAACAGTAACACAAAATATCGATTCATCAGTGCATTGCAATTATTATTTTCCCAATTCAATATCGATTCAGAAAAACCCTAAGATCGATTGTTTTTGTTGTAATGACACCCCTCTCCACTGGGGGCACTGTGAGTGCTGTGAATTCAGCTCAAGCACAATTGTTCCCTTTACATATAGTTTTTGAAAACATGAGGAAAAATCTTATATGTATTATAAACTTGATGTGCACTATCACAAAACACATTTTGCTTACAAAAGTTCCGTCATATATGTGAACTTTGATATGAAACCCACCTGTTTGTCAGCAGCTTAAGCAAATGGCTTTGACCCTGTTTATACTAGATCTCAGTGGAGGCGTGAGGCTCTGTCGGCTCTGAGGTTGTCAAAATTAAATAACATCATGTTAACATATTACTGTGAAATGTATACATGTGGTTTTTTTTGTGAGGACAAATGTTCATATTTAGACTTCAATATATATTTTTAAAGCCATTTACAACTTTTTTCATGTGGGTCCTCGGGGGCTCAACTTTTCTGTTAAGGGTGTGTGTGTGTGTGTGTGTGTGTGTGTGTGTGTGTGTGTGTGCGTGTGTGTGTGTGTGTGTGTGTGTGTGTGTGTCTACATGTTTAAAATGATGAAAGTGATTCACATGGCGTAACTCAAAGGATTTACACCATGTGAATCACCTGTAAAGCACCCTTCAAAAAAGTACTTCCCTCATGTAGTGTATTGACAAACAGAAAGGAATACATGTTATTATCATAGAGTACATGGTATAAAGTGAATTACTATAAATACTGTTTGCTGCAATGTTGTTTCAAAAATTGGAATAAGGGAACAAATTACAAATCTCATTCTTGCAACATGGAAGAGCTAGCTTAAATTTTGCAATTCATCAATTATAACAACTAGCACAAAGCCTACTTGTAGCTAGCTTGTTAGCCTGCAGTCTGACAGTCAGGTATCTGACAGTCCACTGCAGGTATGAGATAAATATTCTTCCTTGTTGATCGAACAGCTAGACAGTAAAATATGCATTACCTCAAAGGTTGTAGGAGCTTTATTAGCCGAGTACATGCTGTAGAAGACGTCCTCCTCCTCCTCCTCCTCCTCCTCCTGCACATTGCTTTAATCCTCCAACAAAGATTAACTGGATCAGAGTTAGAGGACACACTTGGCCCATATGGACAGTAGGCTAGGCTAACTAGCATTTAGGTGTCCATTTGGCCTCCCTGTGTGTGGAAGAAGAACACGTGGTTTAGTTCTTAAACAAACACTTTTTATGTAGTTTCATAGAGTTTGCCTTTGACTATATATTGAAAAACAAACAATAATATGAAACAGAAATTGATACAACTTATCTTTGCAATATATAATGACAATATTTATATCTTAATAAATACTGAAATAAATAAATACATGCATTCATGTAAACAGACACATGATCAAATATTGTTCATCAATTAGGACATGGAGAAGTGTCTATTTATTTCCTTTTCTTTGGCCTCAATGCATATGTTTTGTGTATTTAATGTTATTCCCTCCCTCAGGTGTAATATAAATACTAAATGTGCAGCCTTATGTGTTGACAGTGTATGAAAGACAAGCCCGAGGTGAGAGCTGTGCACAGCACAATGTACAAATATCGTATACTAATGTTTGTATTTTCACTTTATCGACTCATAAATGCACTGTTATGCAGATGTGGGAGGCTTCTTCATGGACAGGAAGTAGATTTATTTCACTCCTGGTTAAACAGGTGTGCACTGTGCAGCTCAGTAACTTTTCTGCATTACAAACACTCAATGGCTTACTTCCTCTACATGCCCAACCCTTAGGAGGCAAAGGTATTAAGCGACAGTGTCACCTAGTGGACTCCTGCAATACTCCTCCCCCCTTAAGCAGGTTCTATCCACCCCATGGGTTCATTATAACATTTCTTTTTATAAAACACAAAACATGACAACACTATCAGCTTTAAGCTTAGTGTCCCTTTTTGACTGTCTCCATGCTGGACATGTTGCCTACTTGAATCTGTCTCTGGTGGTAAGCATGGATCCGGTCCACATGTCTCCTCACTACTCTCCCATCACAAGACTGAAGTTATTGGTCAGTCAGTACTGAGTCACCTGTTCTCGCTATTTTGATGTGCTCGCTCTTTGTCCTTCTTGTTTTTCTTGCGCCTTTCTACAGCTTGCATCTTACTGAAAAGTGACAACAGTGGTTTGGGATCTGTCACTATGGTGAACTTTCGTCTGTAAGCACTTCAGCACCAGCACTTCAGCTGACAACATCATCTTGAAAGGCTGCTTGTTGTTCCTTCCCCCACTCTTTAAGTAGCATATCGTGCACAGGAGCCAGGATTATGGAAAGATTTGACAGGAACTTGTTATGTCCTAGATATGCCTTCAGCTACGGCACATTTGGACTGTGGGTCCACCCTGTTGCATCCACCTTCTGTCCCAGGAACATCTCGTCCTTACTCATGAACAAGCACTTAGTCCTCTTGAGCCTGATACCAGCATGCTCTAGCTCAGTGGTGTCCAAACTTTTTTTCTTGCGGGCCAAAATTGTTTTGTTAGAATCGCTCGCGGGCCACAGGTTTTGTTTTCTTAAATATAGTTGAAAAAGTAGTAAGGCTTTGTAGATCAGAATCAAAAGGCTCGCTAAAGAAACCCTTTAATAAAAGGAAATCAAATATCTTGAATTCTTCGTTCTACTTTATTTGTTTTTTTCACAGAATCAAGCCTGTAACGTGGTTCATTTTTTTGAATTTTTTTTTTCATAGTTTCCAAAAAAATGTGGAAAATAGTAAAAGCTGTAAATTAAAAACAAAAAAAACAAACATACATTGTACTGAACATTTTCTATTTTTAGGAATAGTGTTCAGCCCTTGCTAACATGAAAAAGAAAAATAAGAAAATGTGCCAATCTTAATCAAGGCCTCGGGCCAAAATCTAATGATTTTTCATTTGAAGTCACGGGCCGCAAAAAATCCCCTCGGGCCGCACTTTGGACACCCCTGCTCTAGCTGCTTCAACACCATGGCCAGAGTCTGCAGGTGCTCTTGCTCATTTTTCCCTGTCAGCAGGATGTCATCCAGAAAAAAATGCCTAATAAGGGATACCCCTGCAGTAGTCCCTCCATGGTAGGCCTACTTTGAAAATTGCAGGGCTAGATGATACTCCACAAGGTAACAAACTGTTCGTGAACAAGCCTTTGTGGGTATTAATGCTCACATACTTTTTTTACTTCCTCGTTCAAAGGGATTTGGTGGTATGCATGACTCGGATCAAGCTTTGTAAACTGTTGTCACTCTGAAAGGCTAGAGTAAAGAGGACCTCGATTCTGGGGATTGGACACTGCTCCAGTTTTTGTTACCTGATTTACAGTCAGTTTGTAGTCTCTGCACAGTCTTTCTGTGTCATCTGGCTTTAACACATGGGACCACAAGTGCTGCTCACTCTGCATGTTTTATTGGTTTAATGATCTCCTCTGTAAGGAGACCGTTGAGTTCAGCCTCAACTCTTCCTCTTATGGGGCAGGCCTGGCTTTAAAACATGGGGGTTGCTTCCTTGTCCACATAAAAGTTAGCTGGGGGGGGGACTCTCTGAATTTCCTGAAAACCTCCCCATATTCCCTGATTACCTCCTCTGACATGTCTTCTCTGACATGGTAGATATGTGGTTCTGGTCTCCACTGTAAGCCACTTCCAAATGCAGTACCTTCCTACCAGACTAGCGCCCAACCCATTCCACAAATACCAAAGATAGGTTTTTTTTATTAACTGTTTGTGCTGCACCTTGACCATATCTGCTCCTAAAACATCAACATACTATGTATATTCTGAGTCACCAGAAATGGCTCTTCGGCTGATACCTCTATAGTTCATCTATCTTGTAGAATGTGAATATGACCTCATCTGCATCTTTGTCAATGTTGTCCTTCTCCACCTGGTTGACAAAGATTGCATCCTGAGTTTTTCCATGCTTGCTTGAGTTGTTGCACTTCAGCGCCTCTGACCTTCAAAGTGCTTGCTGAGCCTCTATAGGCTAATTAAAAATAAAAACCATAAAGTAACATAAAGATACCCAGTATAGTAAGACGCCTATTTAGAATAACCTTCAATAAGATGAAACACAAAAGTGTTGTAAGCCTCACTGCATCTACAAGTATAGTCCAATTATAGGCTATCATTTATATTGTTCTGAAATCAGACACTGCATTTGTCCATCAGCTTATGATATTTAGCCTACTGTAAGGTTATTACAATTCTACTAATTTTCTCCTACTATAGACGCAAAGGCTTTGGATTCACAAGATAACGTGGGGGAGGCTAATGTGGAGTATAGATCCTGCTTATGACAAACTGATTAGACCTCCTCTGGCATCTGTTTTCATAAGAGTTATATTCTTAACTTGCTGTGTTTAAAGGGTTGGTTAACTCAGACGTGTTTATAAATACAAAGCCTATCTATAAATACTTATTGTTTTAATGAATGGAAATGTGTTAATAAAGTCTATTTTCTTATCATCTACTCGAGTGTAGTGTGAATGTCTCTCCTCTGACACCGGACCAGACAGGGTTAACAAAAGTGTTGGCAGCTTAAATCTATCTCTAGATGTTTGAGTCTACAGGACAAGAAGTCCTTGTTCCACTATCGTCACATGTTATAATAATATTTTTACAGTCAATGGTTTTTAAAGTTTTTTGGGGGGGACAAAAGGCAGAAAATTACACAAATCATGCTTATAACATGTGTTTCAAACAGGTTTCAAACCTCTTGCCCCCACTGTCCCTCCCACTTATTCTTCCTCTCACTGTTTATTGTATGACGTGACCTGCGTTTAACAAGTTACGTAATAGCGTTGCTACACACACACACACACACACACCCACAGCTGATGAATTTCTGGTCCGGCAGCGCGCAGATGCAGAGAGCAGAAGCTGTATCCATCCACGACGATATCTGCCACCATGGCCCCTGTGAAGCTCGACAGCTCAGGTTGGAAACCTCCATTTTCCCTTTTTGGTCTCCCACGCATGTACATGTGCAGAGAGGAAACAGCTCCGTGTGTTCATCTGCTCATGGTGTCACTGCGCTGAAATTACAGACACATTTTAAAGATGCATGAGAAGCGCATCACCTCATCGTTCCGGTTTCCGCACAGTCATATTTAATTATAGCTGATAGCGGATCTGTTGTTATTGGTAGTGCTTACTGGTTACGGTGGAGGAGACAGACGGAGGCTGCTTGTGTCCTTGTGGCAGTACTTACTGTACTCTCTCCATGAACTGCTGCAGGCTCAAGTTTCCTCTCCACATGCAGCAGCTCTATTTTGTTGTTTATTATTTGCAAGCTGTAACATTCAGTGATCTTGACGACCAATACACGGTATGCACAAGATAAAAACACTTCAGTTCACTTCAGTTCAGATCAGTTTGGATTTTCTATTTATTTTAAATAAAGCTTATTATTATTATTATTATTATTATTATTATATAAAATGTGTTTTACAATGATGGTTTACTTCTGAACCATCTATTTAAGCTCTACAGGGACAGACACTGCAGCTGTTTTATTACAATGAGCGTTGATAATAAGGATGCATGTCAGCTTCATGTGGTTGAAGTGGTGTGTTGTACAGTCTCTCACAATACGCCCACATGTTGCTGGTAAAGGAAGTCTACTCGCTTCACAGAGATTAGACTCTTAAGTCTGGAGAGACGTCTCTCCTTTGAGAAAGATACAGCATGCATTCATTTTAGTTAAGGGTCTACTTTATGCCAATAGTTTATATTTTCCCTCATCTGGATTTTTTTTCTCAATGAAGGTGTTGACCATATTGTGAAGTTTTGGAAGGAAATCCAACTTTTCCTCCCATAAAAAAGTATACAAAGGGAAACACTGCTTTCAAAAGGAATTTATGTATTTTTGTCTTGTACAAAAATTGTGTTTACTGCTTTTGATGAAATCTATGTTCATGGAAATATAGAATTAAAAAAGTATGACTGTTACTCAGATTGTGAAATTCTCAGTTTGTTCATGCAGGAGTTTCTTGATTACTCATCTTATCTGACTAGTGACGGTCAAAGTATTGAATGAAGTCACAATACACACATGTTTGATGGGAAGGGGGTCATCTGTTAAATGGTTCTCACTGAAGGCGTATTTACAGATTTAGAAAAATGTAAATTCTGGAAGAGCTACCTCTTTCAGTTGTTTCTTTGTTGCAATGTAACAAACTAAACATTTTAGGGATAAAAAAGATAACTCCTCGACCACAGGGATATATTGCACGTATGGAAAGCTTAAATATTTCATTAAATGAAAGCATAATGCATATTCCCTGTGGGACTTTTAAGTTCTGGACACTCCCTTGCAGCAGTTTTAGGGTTAAAGTAGAGCTGACTGTGGACAGTAATTCAACTCATGTGTCAGTAGTACAAGCTGGAATGTGCCATAAGATGCAGACACCCTTTAGTTTTGTTTTGTGCTGCCTTTCTGTAAACACATACCATAGACAGAGTTGAAGTTCAAGTAGAACGTCTGGATTTCACATTCCAGTTCAAAGGCATGGATATACATGTAGTGGAAGAAACTGCCCGGAAAACATGAAATTACAAATATAAGGATAGATATTTATTGGTTGTTGATGGGATTGAATGTTTGATCATTTAATTCATATATGTATCTACACAGCAAGTAAGATACCACTGATGTCTTTGTTTTGTGCAGATGAAACCGTGCCTGTTGAAAATGGAAAAACAAAGACATGCATCACTTCAAAACAGAAGGGACTGGAGACGATTGCCCCTCTGGTTCGCTCCGTAGAAGAAACTCCTGAGCCCATCGCCACTGAAGTTCACGGCACCATCCCCTCCTGGATCAATGGAAACCTGCTACGCAATGGGCCGGGGAAGTTTGAGTTTGGAAACACACAGTGAGATCACCTCCACACACTGCTACACAACACACAAAATAAAACTTTTAACAGATGTGATGACATATTATCCTCCTTTTCAACCAGCTTAAATAAGTCTCAGAGCTCCACAAAACATGTCTGTGAAGTTTCTTGCCCAAAGAAATCCTGTTTTTGATCATGCCTATAAACCTCTCTGTTTCAGCCCTGTTCAAAACAGACTGTTTCTGTAGCTTTAGATGCGAATGAGATGTCTGACCACGCCCCTCTCTGGAAGGGCTTGGGTGCCTCGGGCTTTCTTGCGCCATGCCCAACTGTTGTTTACAATGGAAAGGTGGACTCATAGGACAGAACAAACACCTCGTTGTATGTGGGTCACCCATCTGGAGGAAGAGGTTACTGCCCATTGTGATGTCACAAAGGGAAACTCTCTGATCAGCCAGTTGGCCTGAAAAGTGGAGCAGGCTTAAAAAGGAGAGGATGGACTTTTCTCATATTTGGGGGGTTTATAGACAGACTAGGGACACATGTTCGTCTAAGAAAACAATGGTAAAGTTTATTTTGCACAATATGTGACCTTTAACCTTTGGGGTTTTTTTTTTTATCACAGCTTCAACCACTGGTTTGATGGGATGGCCATGCTGCACAAGTTCAAGATTGAAAACGGCCAGGTGACGTACATGAGTCGATTCCTACGCAGCGACGTCTACAAGAAGAACAGTGAGAGGGACCGCATTGTGATATCAGAGTTTGGAACCCTCGCCATGCCCGACCCCTGCAAGAACTTCTTCCAGCGCTTTCTGTCTCGCTTTGAGATGATCCGTGAGTACAAAAGAGAGGGAAGTAGGTAGGGACAGGGAACAGGACTCATTACCAAAGCTGTTCTTGGTTTGTTGACATATTGTGCCAGAACATTGCTTGACTTTATTATTACAACAAGCTCAAGATTGGGACACAGTGGGATCAGCTGAGTAAAATGAGGAGCAGCTGGACATCTGGAGGAAAAAATGTATTGGCTGCAAAAAAAACCACTCGATCATGTTATAGCTGTGTTGAGGCCTTGGTTGGAACCTCTTAAGTAAATAATGTTATGTAAACCCTGTACACGCAAGGCTTACATAATAACATGTGCAAATACAGCGGGGAACCAGAGAGGGGAGCAGGCCTCTCCTACATGGTTCACATTCCCCACTGGACTTTTATAAACCACAAATCACAGAGCAGAATGTTTAACCATTGTTTCTGTTCATTTAAACGTTGTAATTTATCCTTTGTTTCTCTCTTACAGAGCCTACTGACAATGCAAGTGTTAGCTTTGTGCAATACAAAGGTGACTACTATGTCAGCACAGAGACCAATTTCATGCACAGAGTGAACCCTGAGAATCTGGAAACTGTGGAAAAGGTACCGTCATGATCATTGTGGAATTACAGATGTAAATAGAAATGCCAGGGAGGCAATTTCATTTTGTAGCTGGGTATGAAACTGACTAAAATTAGAACGGATGCTTCTTCATAAACCACAAGAGCATCAGAGTAAAGCTTGTCTGTTTTTATATAGTTGTGATAACTACCTGAAACAGCTGCTGTCCAGGTAGGTGTCAGACAAAGTGATTGACTGCACACTGCCAAAACAGTGTTTGTTCGTTTACATTTTCAGGCACATATGTTCTTTACTGGGTGATACATAAGAAAGAGCAGGATGAGGTGTTTTGTTACAAATCACTACCTTCACATATACAGGACAAAATTATCCAAGATATGAGAGTTACCCTTTGTCCACAGGCGGAGCCAAATAGACACAGACTCGAAAAAATACTCACAGAAGCTTTAAGTAGAATGATTTTTTAAAGGTTACATATTAACGCAAAATACACTTCACCATGGTCAACTAATATGTGTCCCTGGTTTGTTTACAAACCCCCAATTATGAGAAAAGTCCATCCTCTCCTCTTTTGCCAACTCCACTTTTTAGAAAATGTGTGCTCAAACAGGCCATTTGGAGACTTTGTGATGTCACAAAGGGAAAGTGGGAGTGTCACCCAGGTGGGTGACACACATGTTAACAGCCTGGCACAAAAAAAAAATTGTATTGGTTAAACTGAACAGGGATTGATTTTGTTGTTGTTACTCATCCGCTTTGATTATATTAAGGCTAAGAGTTATGCATACATTTACATAATTAAGGGTAAGGCTGGGCTGATTGACAGGTGGATGCAATGTAACCGTTTCCCGGTTGATCAAAGGTTTGGTGGAGACAGCATTTCCAATTTGGTGGCTGCCATCATTGGCCTTCAAAACATCTTTCCAGAAACCAATGCACAAGGTCAATGAGACTACATCCATTTGTTAGTCAGTCTCTGATCTATTTTAGAGTCAACCTCCCATGGTGCACTCTGCCCATACACTAGTCAGGCCCAAGTGTAATCTTGCACAAGCTCAGACAGGAGAACTAGCTGTGCAAGAATGTCTAAGCGCCTCCCCCTGACACATTTGGACAATAATTCAAGCTCAGTCTTTTTTAGTTTCTTCAGATGCCCACCCTTAGCTTTAGTATGGGTTTTTATCATTTTGCAACATTTATACATGTTTTCTTTTTTCTTCTATCCAGGTATAAAACCTATATGAATCCACTCAAACTGCAGCATCGACTGATCCCTGTCTTTTTTTCCTGTATTTTGTAGGTAGACTGGAGTAAGTTCATTGCTGTTAATGGAGCTACCGCTCATCCACACTCTGACCCTGATGGTACCACCTATAACATGGGAAACTCTTATGGAAGCAAAGGTTTGTCCCATCATACACTACACTTGGTGCGGGGCAAATTATAAGTATAAGAATATGTCATGCCTTGACTTGTGTCAAACGATAATGAATCCCTGGTGCCAAATATAGATATTTCAATATCTAATCTAAACAGATTTCCCTGCCAATTGATATTACTACTTAATATCATATATCATATCGTATGTCAGATGTGTGTACAAGCTTTTAAGAGGTACACTTTTATCCAGGGGCCCTGTACAACATCATCAGAGTCCCGCCTGAGAAGAAAGACGCCACAGACACCCTTCAAGGAGCCAAAGTACTGTGCTCCATTGTGCCTGCAGACAAGTCCCACCCCTACTACCACTTCGGTAAGAAAGCCTCCTGGACATCAGAGGTTCTGCCTGTATCCTTTACGCCTCTGCTAAATAATCATCTTCTCCTGCTCACAGCCATGTCTGAGAACTACGTGGTGTTCATCGAGCAGCCGATAAAGATGGACCTGCTGAAGATAGTCACATGCAAGCTGAGGGGGAAGGCTCTGAGCGAGGGCATCTATTGGGATCCAAAGCTGCAAACTGTCTTCCACCTCGTCGACAAGCGTACAGGCGAGGTGAGAGGTCGCTCTTACTGAGTGAATACATTCCCCCTCTGTGGATCCTGAGCATCTAATCGTTGCTACTTCACCACACAGGTTGCTACTTCACCACAGGTCAGCTCAGTGAAGTACCACACCAAAGCCATCTCTGTCTTCCACCAAATCAACGCCTTTGAGGAGGGCGGGTTCTTGATGCTGGACATGTGCTGCGCTGACGACGGCAAAGCCATCAACAACTACCTAATCCAGAACCTACGAAAGTCAGGAGACGCTTTGGATGAGGTCAGCATGTGACGATGAAACACACAGCTAACGGAAGGAAGGAATATAATGACCTCTGAGAAATCATCATGACAGTGTATTTTGTAACGTGACATTTTATTGTCTCATTGCACCAAGAAACAAACCCATATGTATAGCTACAATAACATAAATGATCACCTGCATTGTTTTTTAAATGTCTTCCACAGGTGTACAACACCGGGTGCCGGGCTTTCCCTCGCCGCTTTGTTCTTCCTCTCAATGTGACCCAGGAAACCCCGGTAGACCAAAACCTGAACACTCAGCCCTCCAGTAAGGCAACCTGTGTCAAAATCAACAAAGACAAGGTGAGTTTGAGATGAACAGTGTACTTTTCTTGTAGTTCTTTTTATTGACATTCAGTAAACTTCTCAATAAAGTGTATCTCTGTCACTTTAAATATTCAACAAATATGTCTGCCAAAAAAACAACCTACCAAAAGTGTTCAGAACAGGCAAAGAAGTTAAAGATATAAAGTTGTCCTTTTCCCCGTTTACCCCATTTAAAAAAAAAGAAGCTAAAATCTCTGCTGCTTTAATGACAGAAAGTAATGAAAGGTACCAAAGCTTTAAAAGTTAACTTCAGGCCTTCAGTCATATTTAAACAAAAGCTGAGACGGCAGCAATCGGTCCATTCATATTTACTTAAAATATGTATAAAATCCTTGAATACAGACACTTCTCAAATCCTTCTTTGATCTCATGAAGATGCTAAAGTGTTTTTAATTCCTCATACAGAGAACAGAGGATGTGACCCTGTCAAAAATACATCCGGTATTGAGTCTTGTATTTTTGATGCTGAGGTACAGTAACATAATTAGAATTTGATAATGATTAATAATCCCTTTAGAAACTGTGCAAAGAAAATATGAAAAGGTTGTTCATTTGTTCATATTCTCTTCATTATATGTCTTGAAATTGACCCATCATGCAATCTTAATGTATCTGTCTTTTTTTAAATCCCATTGGCTGGATAAAGACTCTTATTAGAAAACAGCTATGACAGGAGAGTCTCACTTCAAATGTTTAGATGGAAAACAGTTCACAATTACAAAACAAATAACAAAATGAAAAGAATAACGACAATTCACTCCCTAACTTTGCATAGTTTTACTTAATTTGCTTTTTAAGGTTGTCATAATTCCAGAAATTTAAATTTTATATAATACTCGTAAAAAAACAAATAAGGACTATACATGCTTCATGTGCTGCAGTAACTGAGAATACATTTTAAGTTTTTCACATCTACACTCCTTTTTTGATCTGAGACCAGAAGGAAAAACACAGTTTGTTAATTATTTAATATGACTAATGTAATTGTGTAAAATCACAAGATCTTTGTCATGAAAGCAAAAGCACTGATTCAATTTATTAAGACCACACACAAAGTACACGAGTATCATAAACTGCAAGGTCAAAAACTCATGCAGCATTTCTCTACATGGTCAGTCAAATAAAAATCTGACCGAGTGACAATAAACATTCGATCCTCTGTGTAAACAGGTGTTTTGCCAACCCGAGGATCTCCATGGAGACGACCTTCAGGAGTACGGTGGCCTGGAGTTTCCACAGATAAACTACGCCAAATATAACACAAAGCCGTACCGTTATTTCTACGGCTGTGGCTTCAGACACCTGGTGGGAGACTCTCTGCTCAAAATGGACCTAAACGACAAGACGTTCAAGGTGTGTGTGTGTGTGTGTGTGTGTGTGTGTGTGTGTGTGTGTGTGTGTGTGTGTGTGTGTGTGTGTTCTGCTTTTGTTTAAGTCCAGCTTCTCCTTGAAAAAACACTTCACACATGTCTTTGTTGTACATTTTATGCTTTAAATGTTTTGCTCCGCAGCACATTTAGAGGAGCATTTAACCCTTTACTCGTGTTTTTGATAAACAGACTCACTTACAGGTTCAGCCGACACAAAAACCACGCTATCCTGTTTGTCAGGATTCCCTTAAATTTACACAGGCCAACTGTGATTATTTAACCAACCATGCTGGCTGTTTCCCCTGCTATCAGTTACTATGTTAAGCTAACTGCAGACTGGCGAAAGAGACGACAAGTGTTGTTGTGAGCTGTCCTAAAATATTAAACTAGGTCAAAGGTTAAAGAACAGCGTGGACACCAACAGACACCATAGTTTAACTTGTGTTTACTCCCTCAAAGATGTAAAAATACAGAAACCCACTATGACTGGACTGGACTAATAAAGCAGTAAATATACAATGCTGTCCTACCAAACTGGTTTTTGGGTGAATATAATGAAGCAGCGCCCTCTGGTGTTTTAAAAGAAGGCCAGTTGTTTATCTACTTGAAGCTGGCATTAAAAACTCCCCTTTAGGCCCCATATGAAATAAACATGTTTACAGTCTGGTACAACAAAAAGTTTCACTCTATACATCTCACTTTTTTATTGGTTAAAACTGTGCTTAGCCCCGCCTCTTTACCTGTTTCTTTATTGTTGACAGTTATTTGGTGAAAGCATTTCCAATATGGTAACCGCCAAAGTTTGGCTTCATAGAGCCTCTAAAGAAACCAATAGGTGACGTCACAGAGACTGCATGTATTAGAAAATCTATGGGCAGTTTTTACAGTGAATTAGGGTTGAAATAGAGAACTGAAAGAATAAGGACTGAACAATGAGTGTCTGAGAACGAACATTTTTTTCTTCATCCCCTGAAAAAAACAATTCTCTCCTCAGTCCTTCCTCTTCATCTTAGATTAACGAGTCCAGACGAGCTGCAGACAAGTCGGCCTCTTGCTCAAAGACACTTCAGCAGGGTTTAACACTCTCCGCTGACAGTAGTGTGTGTGTGTGTTCAACCTCAGGTGTGGTACCAGAAGGGTTTCTACCCGTCAGAGCCCGTGTTTGTGCCGGCACCTGATGCTGTGGAGGAGGACGATGGTGTCATCATGTCTGTGGTTCTCACCCCCTCACAGGTAAGACTGTTTCTGAAGAACAAAGATGTACAACAGGAATCATAGGAGAGCCCAAATGATGAAACTTAAACATTCTAAGATTTAAGAGTAAGGTTGCTTAACTGTCAATTCTGCCTTATGTGCAGAACAAACAGTGGACTGAAATCATTTTTCCAGACCGAGTGTAACAGAAAAAAACAGATATTTGTCAGTTTACAAATATAACTACAGTAAAAGAGCAGCAGACACACAGGACCTGCTGGAGGAAAAAGTGCTAATAGATGGTGTGAATATATTTCTTGGTGAGTTAAAATGAGCCAGTTTATAAAATGAATCTCCGGGTATGGAGCATACAAGTCCTGCTGCTTTCTGGAGTTAAAATCAACAGCAGGCAGCCGGCCTGTAAGTCCGCCTGAGCTTTGTTAGTTTTCTCTAAAGTCTACATGTACAACACTACGGCTGAATCCCGATGTCCTACCTAAACACTGAGCCCTTACTGACTTTATTGACGTCACCTGGAAAGTCAGTGAGTGCATGAGGCTGCGAGGGCTCCAATGGTTAAATACAAATGGGACAGCACTTTGCAACTCATCTGTAACCATGACTGCATGATTTCATGTAGCAAAAGCTTATTTTACGTTTTTTTTACTTAACTCACTCACTGCCATGGTACTTATAAAAAGTTCTACTCAAAATAGGCCTATATATAGGCCTAAATGTCTTTGTTGTGGGATAAATATAGGTTTATCTTATCCTAATATAACAGGACTAATATGCTCTGTCTCTCTTGTTTTTGTTTATAGACTTGCAAATGAGTTCTGAATTAGCTGTATTTTCCAAAGAAACTTTTTTAGTACACTGTAAATAGAGCGTGGTTTCACCTTCCTGTTTTTTTTACTGTCTCTACCTTTTTTCCGTTTTATGGCGTTTGTTTACCTTTCAATTGTTGTTGGCTTCCCCGGGAAATCATATGTTTCACATCACAATGCTGTGAACTATGGGTAATTCCCTCACGTTAAGTCTGCAGATATGCCCACTTACGGAGAGGGTGCATAAAGGGCTCGTATAGTCAGCGAGAGATCCCTTAAACACTTTTTGATTTCACAGTGGGACAGCACTAAGCCCTCACAGATTTATCCGGGAACGTGCACCAAAGTCAGTGAGTGTATGAGGGTGGATTGGGCCCAGGTTGTACGTCTTTTAAAGTACAACATGTTTCTCTAAAGCACACAGCAGCTGGGTCTGAAGCTGTTTAGTCTAACTGAAGACTTTTTTGAAGAGTTTTAAATTCTCTAGTGTTTATTTTTTTATTTTTTTATCTCAATTTCAGTTTAGAATAAATACGTTCAGACTGAAACACTCAGTGAAGAAAGTCAGTGAAGGCCTCTGAATATTTTTCATTTCATTTCAGAGTGTCGCTGACAATAAAGACAATCAACCAATGAAGTGATACGTGTGGGGGGGGGGACCCCAAAGGGCCAAAAGCATCTTGCAATACAAACTTATAAACATGTTAAAGAGATGTGAGGATGTGTGTCAGAAATAATAATAATAACTTTATTTATATAACACCTTTTAAAAACACAGGTTTACAAAGTGCTTTGACAAACAAGAACAAGCTAAACCAAACACAGAAGAACATAAACAAAAACAAGAACAAACTAAACCAAACACAGAAGAACATAAACAACAGCAAGAACATAACAAATGCAAAATACTCAAAATAATTAAATACAATTCAACAGAAAAGAACCCAAAGTGCACGATACACAACAGACATATATATAACCCCGACCGTCACAAGAACCATCATAAGAACCCAACAACACGAGCTGAGCCCAAGAGGAACCAAAGATTTAAAAAGATGTAAGAAACTAAAAGAGCTGAAAAAAATAAAAAGATAACAGCAATAAGAAGGAAAGAGCAGTAAAAGAAATAGAAACAAGTGAATAAATTATCAAAAAAGTTAAGATCAGTTAAGATATGAGCATAAATAAAAGGACAGTAAGAAGTAAAAGAAGATAAAAAAATAGTAAAACCAGTAAGAAAAGACATGAAGAAGACGACATCACATAAAAGCAAGTCTGTAAAAGTACGTTTTAAGAAAGGGATTTAAAAGAGTTGAATTGTGTGCAAACTGTGCTTGTGTCATTAACAAAGACAAAGATGAAACCAAAAACTCTTTCTTTATCATTTTATTTGTATTTCACTCGTTATGTTTACACATGAAACAGTCAACTGTCTCTTTTTGTTCAGTCAACAAAAAGGTCTTGACAATCTAGTTTCTGTTCTTTAGTTATTTTCCTGTTCACAACACTTGACTGTCACTGACATTATTCTGAAGATGAACTGTCTGTTGTTTTTATAACACTTGGTGATAACTCTTCTCTGCAGGATAAAGGATCATTCCTCCTGGTTTTGGATGCCAAAACGTTCGAAGAGCTGGGCAGAGCCAACGTTCCCGTGAACATGGCTTACGGCTTCCACGGCACCTTCAGCGCCTGTGCTTGAAGCGGATACTTTGAAAGTGTTTCTGATATTCAATATAACATGAAGAATACCAGCGCAGTGTATAACCACTATACTCCTGATGGTACTGACTCACCGCTGCACTATACTAAACATTGATGCAGTGTAATGTTACTGAACTGTTACTCTGGTTTGTAGCAACACACAACTGTGATAAACTCAAAGATACTTAAAGGAAGAATGTGGGACATTTTTACACTTAAATCCAGCAGAAATCAAGAATATCCTCTGTGAATGTCTCTCTGAGTCATGACTGGCTGTATTATTGTCAGAGCCGTGTTTAAATCATGTTTACATGGACGGGTGTATAAAGCTGTTTTAGTCGAGGACTAGAGAACAGAAGAATAACATACACACCGCTCATCTGGATGTTACCTAAGCGTTTTTAGATCTCGGTCATTGTGTGTCAATTTATGTGGAATATGAAGCTATGAGTTAACCAAAGTGTGCTAGCATTAGCCTGCTAACACGACAAAGCAGGTCACAGGGGATTACAGCTCAAGCCAAACAATTTTGTCTGCCGCTTGTGCTTAATGGTGCTTAATTATGGTGCCTTCTAATTGATAACTCGTAAAGTTTGGATGTCTG